GGTGTCATATCTGTAAATTAAGAGCAGTTTTTAGGTTTTAGTAATTGAGACAGTCTATATGTCAATTCTAAAGTTTCACAAAACTCTTGGAGAGCCACTTGAAGCACTGAGCTGCCCTTGCCATCCTCATTATTGTTTTCATGTGAGAACGGTACTGCACGTAGCAGTAGGCTTGCTGATTTGCTTTGCTGCTTTCAGAAGATTCTGTAGAATTTTCCTTTCTAAACTTTACAAAGTAAGAAGTAAATAAAACAACAGCAACATACCTATTCTCTTTTTCCCTTAAAAAAAAAAATGACCTGTAGGTATATTTATTGTGGAAAAGTGAGAAGTAACAAAGAATCCCAGCACTATGGACAATAAAAAATATGGAAAAAAAGTGAAAAAATACAGATGCATGAAAAGAAAAAATGAATCACTCAAATTCAACATTTAGTGAACCAGTGTTGACATTTAGGTGCTTCTCCTTTCAGCAGTTTTTCTATTTAGATAGAATTGCATAAACATACATTTTTTAATGAAAAGAAATGTACGTATACTGTTTTTATACACTTGATTTTCTTTGTATGTCACTTAGTAATAAATAAACAGTGAAAATCTCACCAATAGTTAACACTAATAGATATCTTTGTCATAGTTAAAGTCTACTTAAAACATTTTTAGGAGAATACATTTTTTGTTTCCTTTGATAACTGTCCTTGGACACAGCCTTTGTTCAAACGTATATTTTGGAATCTACTGATGAATGAGTAGCCATAGATGGTAGATAATCATGTGATTAGTGTGGTCAAGAAGAGGACCCAGTGCCCCCAAAAGTCTCCTCCCACACAGACTGAGCTGTTAGAGATTTACTTCTTAGGTTTGGCCCTGTTGAAACACAATCCCTCCTAAAGCAGTGTCAGTCATTAACTCTTTCTGCCAGTAGTTTATCAGGTCTTTTGTCCCATGGCTCCTGGTTAGTACAATTTCCTGCCAAATGGGACATGGTTCTGATAGAGAAGGAGAAAAATAGTCCTGAGAGCATTTTCTTTGACCTTTCCCATTCAAGGGTCAAATTCTAACCCTGCTGGTCTTTTCCACCACCAGGTTCACCGCACAGTAGGAAGACTATTGAATTGGGCTAGATGAAAGCTGTTAGTGACAAAGAGTTGTATAACTCAGGATATAAAACCAAATTTCAAATTTTAATTTCTTATTCTATCCTTAAATGTGTCCTCCTCATAACACCCACCAT